ATCCTTTCATGGGATGAGTCTTTTGAATGTCATGCCATGAAAATACAGCTCTTGACAACAGAAAAATAGTCCTGTCTTAATTACCACTATTGTTTCTTATTATAGAGGCTGTGATTCATGGACAAAGATTCATTTGTGTTCAACAGTATAAAAACAGAGAATAAGTAGATACTGTGTTTAAGTTTGTGACCTATGTGACCAGTAAACTTTGAAACTGGAAAACAAGGTAAGAAAGATTTGATGAAATTTACACATTTTGCCCAGTTATAGAATCATAAGCCAGTTAGCTAAAGGTTTGGAGGTTCCCACCTATTCTTTAGCTACTCAAACAGCTATTATTTAGGAAACTTGCCTTCAGGAAAAGAATTAGGATGTTATTTTGAAAGCACCAATGTTTTTCTACTTTTGATGTCCGTAGATAATAACATAAGCTATATTTCCTGGATAATAGGTTCCTTGGATGTTTTGTAGTTTAGTGTATTAATGCGTACGTAAACATTACATCAGTGAGGCAAAAGCATTTGTGTTATTTGCCGGATGGAATGAAACACTTTTTAGCTAAGGCCATTTTATAAAAAATATTTCTTAAGTCAAATTCATGAAACATTCTCTGTTCAGCTACATTTTCACCTGGGAGATTTTCGAAGTCTGGTGTTTGTCAGTTGTTTCTGAGAGGAAAGAGGAGTAAGGGAGAAGGTGGAAAGTTCCCATTTTCCAGGGTGAACGTAGGCAATCCAGTCCGTCTGCTCATGCACAGCACATGGGCAGTGCCCTGGGCACAGTTGCACACACCTGCTCCTTGCTCCTGCACCTGTCTCTCAGCAAGCCTGCTGCCCTTGGCATCGGGAACAGATGGCTCCAGGGCCATGGAGGTAGAGAGGAGTCCTGCTTATTACGGCTCTTTGCACAATTCAGCATGAAGAAATGGTATGGGCACAGCTGGGTAACAAATACAGCCATGGTTAAATCCAAAATGCAATCTTCAGTGGCTAAAAAAGACTTACAATATGGTGGATGATGTCAGAAGGTTCAGAAAACACTTGAAGGAAAACACTACAGGTCATCTCCTTTCCCTTTAATGTAAAATATGCATGGCTAGTTTTGAGTTACTGATGTTGAGAGATCATTCATCTTTTGTGACGTGATGGTGAAGGCCTAATGTAGTCTATTTCATCTATTTAGCTTTACAGAGAAATGGGAACTCTTCAGATAAGACTACTTTGTTTCATTTACAACCAGCATACAGGTGCCAATCCTTAAAAATAAATCTTCCCCTGTCTGCTTTGACTTAGTTAAGTTCATGCAGAATGTATCAGTCTATTTACAGTAGGGATGAACAAGTTCAAACTTATTTCCCTGGAGATTTGTTGCTGCAGAGTGCTTGGCTATTTCAAAATATGCAGGAGTAGCATGTTTAAACATGCACTGTGTTTGCTGGCAGCCTCCACTTTCCTTTACCACTTGCTCTATTAGCCTAGTCACTACATTTCTTGTTCACTGCATAATTTCCAAATAATTTTTTCCTTAGAGCTCCTGAATTTCTCAGTACCTGAGAATAACTACAGCTGTTTTGGGACTTTAATATTAGAAAACACTGCTGTATGCTCAAATATTATTTTCAAGTAAACAAAGCTGGAAACAATTTTCCTGCCCATTCATCCATCAGTGACATACAATTAAGTGGCACTGAACATTTTTAATTTTAATCATACTGCAATGTTTGTCAAAAGCAAGTATTTAACTGCAAGGCACCTTTCCAGTATCCTTGCTTACTACTCCAGTAGCAAACTGGTAAACTGTGTTCAGTCTGTTATGCTTAGTCCTAGCCCAGGCACCTTGATGCCCTAATATTTTGTTTCTCACAACTCATCTAATCCTTACTCTCTCTTCCCACATATTAAACGGGTTTCTGGTGACAGATGTGGGTTCAGGTGGTTCATCTATTCCTCTGCTTTAATCCTGTGACTTGCTACACCCTTTACTCTGAAAGAATTAACCTCATGTCCAAAGTTTGATTTTTAGGTGTGTGTTTCAGTTTCACAATGGGTCTTTAGGAATGGAGCTCTCAATCCATGAGTATTTTCTTTAGAATGTATTTGACTGAGAGGCCAGGTTCCCCCAGCAGGATCAGCAGTCATCTCTATAGGGAAGAGAGTTTTTTTTCCTATTTCTCACTCTGCAGGAAGTAGGAAAAGTCTCTAACTGAAAAATACATATTTTATTGGGGATAATGATTTGTATTTACAAGAATCAATAGTAGTTCTTCATGACTTTGTTTGAAAAGAAATACCAGGTGTTTTACCTGTGGTACTTTATCTTTCTTAGTCAAAAAAAAAAAAAAAAAAAAAGTTCACTAGAAAGGATATCAGAGGCCAGAGGCATCTCGAAAATATCAAAATTTGAAAAAAAGGTATGTAAATATATCCTAAATGCAATTTAGAAAAAGACTATCCCTGTGTTTTTCCTCAGTGATGCTTCCTAATCTATTTGTAAACAACTCATTCATTGAAAAAATTTTGTCCTTTCTTCATTTAAAGGAATTAATATGCTCTGCAGCTGCCCTTTTGGACCAAATTCTGGAGAGCTATATAACTATATATCTTATATAGTGGAGTTCCAGGTATATAAGGACTTTTTTCTTTTACCCCCAGAAATAAGATTTTGTAAAAATCCCAGGTCTTTCAAGCCCAGGTCTTAGTAATTTTATTAATATCAATCTTATATAAAATAATACAATATACACATATATTTAGATTTAAATTATTTATAAATATATACTGTATTTATATATAATATATAATGAAATTTATAGATTATATACAATATCTATATAATATATAAATTATATATAAGTTTTATACATTAAATTTATATATATTAAAAATGTAATTTAAACTGTGATTACATACAGCGATGAAGAGTGGTTAAATTGATTTAATGACCACCTACAGGAAGGGTTAGGAAAGAGGTACAGCACGAAACCCCGTGTACTACGCTGGACAAACGCTGCATTGTCTCGGTTCACATCGCTGGTGGTGAAACAGCGCTCCCTGATGTCCAACAAGCTACACGGAAGTCCAAAAGCTCCATTCTTCCCGATATTTTTGGATGAATTGTTCCACAACTTTCTGAAAATTGTAGTTAATAAAAAGCAAAGTTAGGAGCCAGTTAATTCCACTATCTCATGCAGAGGACTTAGAGTCAGGTGAAGTTCTGTTTCCTTATTGTCACTGGGTCAGGGATCAGCCTTTCCATGCTGATGTTTTCCCATAACGCTTCCAAGCTGAGTCCTTCAGTCATCCCTATCTCGGTCCTACCTCAGGCTGCAGAGTCCTGCACGGAAGGAAAGGCAGAGCTCCAGACATTCCCACATGTCCCTCTCACAAACTCAGTTTCCTCACGAGTCAGGTCTGAATCAGAGCAGAGACCCGAGTCCTGGCAGGCTGGGAGCCATCCACCAATGCAAGAGTCACAATACCTGTTCAATAACTTGATTGTGACAGATTTTTGAGTGAAAAAAGAAGTCTTTTAATATTTTGTTGCAGAACCACCAGCCCAAAAATTATTTCAGAGGTGGGAGACTTACAAGAAGCTCTGTGTGGGTAAAGATTGATGTTGTAAGTCACTTTTTATTGATGTAAAGGTGTAAAGAATAAGGAAGTATGCATGTCACAATTATCATTGCAGGTTCATGTTTTGCAATAGGGAATAAAAAAGAAGGTTTTTTTTCCTGGTCTCAAAGATTAAGATGTGGAAGTTTCTGTAACCTGCCCTTCCTCTGTTTTTTACAATTATCAAATGAACAGTAGTTAATTGATGAGTACTTTGAATTCCTTTTTGAATTCCTTGATGTTTGCCCTGCCGATGTATCTGGTATTGTCTCCACCCTGCTGCCAAGTTTCCTGATTTCAGCCTGTTCAATACAGATATGTTGTTAGTTGGTACATTTACCACTCGGTATGTTTCTTATCTCTATCCCTGATCACAAACTTGGCATGATCTTCCCCTGAATGTGCTCGCTAACTCAGAGCACGTAAATAATTCAGCAAATTATTAATAGAAGATGAGGAAGGTGTAAAGAGGCCTCTCTTCTCATTACCATAGCAAATGAGGCCAGTTACACTTTAATTGGCCGGCGCAGGGGGAAACAATGAAAATGGATATGTCTTGCCATCTTCCTGGCATAAATCTTTAGCTCTTCTAAGAAAAGGCAACAGTAAGGTTTCACACTGAATCTTATTCAGCAATCTTATTAGCAAAGGGATCTTTTTCATTCTTGTTGTTATATTTCAATAGACTGCCTCAGACTAATTGCTTACTACTAGCTGCATTAATTGCCTCTGTAGAAAGGTAGCAGCAGGGTGTCCTGCACCTCTGTGTTTAATGATTTTTAGAGTCAGGTATCCCTTCTCCTTCGTGTCCTATGGCTCCTGGGGAGAGGTTTATCAAACTGGGGACATGTTTCAATCATAGAATCACAGAATGGTTTGGCTTTGAAGGGAGCTTAAAAACCACCTCGTTCCGACCCCCGGCCGTGGGCAGGGCGGGACATCTCCCACTAGGGCAGGTTACTCAGAACGCCATGCAGCCTGGCCTTGGACACTTCCAGGGATGGGGCAAGGAAAAGGAAAAGGAAAAGGAAAAGGAAAAGGAAAAGGAAAAGGAAAAGGAAAAGGAAAAGGAAAAGGAAAAGGAAAAGGAAAAGGAAAAGGAAAAGGAAAAGGAAAAGGAAAAGGAAAAGGAAAAGGAAAAGGAAAAGTTTGTTTTGCAGCGCCCCAAGGCAGCCCGGACACGGCCCCTGGCGGTGAGGCGAGCGAGAGGCGCCCCCGCCGTGCCCCGCTCCCATTGGCTGCCACGCCCCGGGCGCCAACAGGAGGGGCGGGAGGAGAGAGCGCCCCGCCGCCCGATTGGCTGGGGCGGTGCGCCGCGCACGCTGATTGGCTGCGAGAGGCGCCACTCGCGGTGCGGAGGCGTGAGGGAGGCGGCTGCGGGAGGCGGGAAGGGCGGCTTTGGGCTCCGGGCTCTGGCGCAGGAGGCGGAACCGCAGCCTCCCCTCAGGGCCCTTTGGTGTTCGTGCGGCGGCCACCCAAGCGCTGGGAGCCCGGTTGGCTGCGGTGAGCCAGCCTCCAACAGCCCCCTGCCGGGAGACCTCCTGAAGGCGTAAATACATTTAAACCCGCCAAAAACACCCTTCCTCACTCTCCGTTTGGTATCCCCTTACATTTTTGCGGTGACGAACACCACAGGTATTTCCTTGGCCGTGCCTTCTGGGTATGTCCAACCTGAGGGATAAGATTAATTCCCAATGGCAGTTAGGAGCTCAAGACTTGACTTTAATGTTACATAGCTCAATCCCGGTTCTGCTGCTTAGTTCTATTAATATTCCTTTAAAAAAAAAAAGACACAGTCACAAATTGGAGGGGAAGTACGCAGGTTTTTTCGTAGATCTAAGTAAGTGTGTGAAGCTACAAGGATCTGACAAACAGCAGCTTTTCCTGGAAAGGCTCTTTTCTCATTTTTCAAAGTTGACTGAAAAAAGTAAAATTGAAGGCTCCTTCTACTGGGGAAAGATTTATAAAATTAAAACCAAATCAAAGAACTCTATGTGGCTGTCTTAGGGCACAAGACTTAGATAATCAGTACTGATAAATTCATTTTCCATCATCTGACATACAAGTTCTACTGAAACGTCTCATGTGAATAAAAGTAATGTACTAGTGCTGAAACTGACTGATTTTGTAGTTAATTTCTTCTTATTCTTTCAACAGGAACCTTGGTTTAAGGAAATGAAACACAATCTAGTGTGTCAGACACCTCCCACTGTCACTGTTCATGTAAAATCGAGTGCATCCAGATCACATCAGCAAAAAAAACTTGCTAGACTAAAGCGACCTGCTTTTAAAGATCGTCAAGAAAATTGTGAAAAAGGGGTTCCTAGTCAGAAATATAAATGTCCAAAGGGACCATGTCTAGTTATTCAGCGTCAGGAAATGACAGCTTTCTTTAAATTATTTGGTAGGTTAATAATGTGAGATATGAATGAGTTGACTGAACAGAATGTTTTCTAAGGTCAGGAATGTTGAGAGTGCTTTATATATTGAAACTAATGGCAATTCTTTATCAAAACGTTTTGTTGGTATATTTTGATATATAAATATTTAATGCTTAAGTTGAAAATAAAAGGGCTACCTAACTGATGAAAATTATTTTTTAAATTACAAATGAAACCAGGGTGTTTTGCTACTTTTTATTTTATGATAATTTTCCTTAATATTTTCCTCTTATATTTCAACAAATACATGTAAAACAATGTGTATCTTGTTTTACACAAGCTTTAAAAAAAGGGACTCCTTGTCTCTTAAACATGTTCTGTACTGTGGGAATAAACTTCTGGGGGAAGAAGTGGAATGGGAAGTTGATCTAAGGAGTTGAAGCATCTCTTCTTTATTTGTATCTCTTTCATATAAAGTTTTGTGTTCATTTAATTTAGCAAAGACATTAAGTAATAGTGGAAGATTACAGCTGGTTTTCATTTGACCCTTACATACAGCAGTGAATGAGAGAGAGGTTGTGGTAATTACGGTACATGATCATGGACAGTGAAGCAATGACCAAAAAAAAGCAAGTATTGCCCTATAAAGGCTGCCAGGTAATCAGGGTGCAGGATCTCAGCAGTCTGTAGTTCCTTGGAAATAATGGTGTGCATGCAATGCAGGAAGAAATTATGCAAACAGAAAAAATACTGGTTATTTTTCACTTTCACCTGCTGTTACTGAGTGGATGAAATGCAGTCACCAGATTTTCCACCTTGCCGTTCTGGTAGAGTTTGTTTTCTTTTGTCATGTAAGCTTTTTTCACACCTGAACCTCTCCTACTGCCCTCGGTTTCTTTGTTCCCTACTGGCCGGTCTAGCTTCTTTTCTTTCATTTGGTTTAATGAAAGACCATCTGTTATTTATTTATAAATACCTTCTGACATAAACAGTTTTGGTGTTTGAAATGCTACAGCTTTCTCTTGTTACAGATGATGATCTCATCCAAGACTTCCTTTGGATGGACTGTTGCTGTGAAATTGCAGACAAGGTAAGTGTATTTCCTCCTTTGTTAATAGAACATACACTGAGTGAGAAATCCGCCCTTAATTACTTGATACTTTAATGCAAATACAGAACATATTCTTTTTCTAATGGTTTCACATGGAAGTTTCAAGAAACTTAATTCATGCTTTCCTCATTGTTAAAAATTATGAAAATATATTGGTAGAAGATGTGTGAATCAATTTAGGAAATACTGTATCTAAGTAACACATTGATACTTCATTTTACATTTTAAAACAGTATCTCTTGGCAATGACTTTCGTTTATTTCAAGAGAGCTAACTTCACACCAAGTGAGCATACCAGAATCAATTTCTTTGTGGCTCTGTAAGTACTTTAAAATTATCTGGTTTTATTAGGATAAACTTTGCATTATTTCTTTATGACACTGACAGTTATAGTATGTGATGAGACTTCCTTGGGGCAGTATATAAACAACCTGATCTAATGGCATCCTAGGGGATGGCAGGAGGGCTGGAACTAGGTGGTCTTTAAAGTCCCTTCCAACCCAAACCATTCTGTGGTTCTATGATAATCCACATACTGTACATAAATAGTGCAAAGTCACCATTCTTCCTGTGATGGAACAAGCTTGAGCAGCAGCCAGGGGTTGCCTGCATTGGTGTAGTGATACACACAGTGGCATTCTGCCTACCAAATTGAATCTGGGAGCTTTTTAAAGCATTACAAGAAATGCATGCAGGACAATACACAGCAACATGTATGTGGCTCACAGGTGCTTGTATAAACCTTATTTCATACCTTTGCCAGCCTTTAAGGCATTTGTATCAAAACATTTCACCATGACAGGCATCTCAGGAGTAACTTGCTATTAAAGTTTCTGTCAATGTGATTTAAATCAACTATAAAAGCATTGTTAGAGAATTTCTGAGAACTTTTTTGAACAGTTGTAAAATGCCAATACTTTGAAACAGTGGTGGAATCAGTAATCCATCTTTGTCAGGCCTACATAACCCTCTGAATTTGGCTATACCTGCAGAGGGTTCTGCTTTTTTTTTTTACAGTGTTATGTTGCTCAGGTCATCTTTTCCAATAACATCACTTCTCAGATACTCTGATTTGCACACTAGTGCAAAGGTGGCTGTTCTTTCCACTGTCATTAATACTGTGGGTGACATCCACAGAGCATGGAGGAGGGAGCCCTCTGACCCCACTGAAGGGGGAAAAGGCAGGCCAGAACAGTGAAAGGATTAGAAGGGGACAGAGTCTGGTGGGACTGGGGTCAGGAGCAAGTGAGAAAACTGGGGAGGAAACTAAAATCCTAATTTTTTCCAAGTGTGATTTACAGGAGTTTAGTACCAGATGGATCCAGAGGAAATAAACATTTTCCTGTTGTCTGAGAAAACAAAACTAAAAGTAACTAGATAGTGAACAAAGGGAAGAACAGAGACATTTTAAAAAGTTATTTAAGTTTTTAATTTATAACTAAAAGTAGACCTGTTTCCTCCTAATTTAATATGAGCAATGTAATTTTCCAAGAATAGCTAAAATCCATAAGGTAAAAAATTAAAAGTTTAAGATTTCACAGAATAGTTTTAAGCCTTATTTAAAGAATCAATCAGAAACTGTTTATTTTGTTCAAGGGTTTCTTGCCAGCTTGGAGAAGGATGTCAGAATGTGTTAGTTCTTGCTATGCACATGCAACTAATTAAGAAAATATTGTATTCCAGAGAGAAGGCTGTATTTTGTTAGTGTTTTTTCCTCATAATACTAGAAAAAAAGAACCACTGCAATATGTCTGTTATTTTAGAAATCATTCTAATATAGTGGTATAAGATTGAATATTTACAAACATAAACATATATATATTTGAAGGTATCTGGCAAACACAGTTGAAGAAGACAATGAAGAAGCAAAGTATGACATTTTCCCATGGGCTTTGGGCAAAGCCTGGAGAAAACTCTTCCCTGATTTCTTAAAGTTAAGAGATCAACTTTGGAGTAGAATTGACTACAGGGCTATTGTAAGCAGACGCTGCTGTGAAGAGGTAGGGAGGGAGATTTCATATTGTAGATGTTGAAATCACAACAAGTAACACCAGCTAGCAATTTAGCTCTGTACAGTTTCTTCCCTAAAGTAAACACACAATCCATGGGAAAGAGAAGATGCTGCTAAAATGTAATGGTCCATTTATACTCCATGATATTTTTTCCTTCTCCATTTAAAATATGTCATTTGAAACAGTGTTTTTTAAGTAAAGTAGAATATTTTATATTGCACTGCTGTTAAAAGTAAAGTTTCTATTGGCTAGAATCTGCAAATTCTAGCCAATGCAAAAATATTTTTATGCAAAATACAAATATTTTTAATTTAAAATCTACCTTAATTTGTTTCACTTCATCCACTTTAGCAGTAATTTTGTGTGCTTTACAATTCACAAGGAAAAAATATATTCCTCACTTTTCAGGTGAAGTATGTATCTGGAAAAGCCCTTGTCATGTTCCAAGTACATAATGTTTACTTTCAGATGGTGGAAAAGCAAATGTCATTTACTCTAGAGGCCATTTCTGGGGATGGGATTAGATGCTATGGGAAAAAGCACAAGGAACAAGGCGAGTGCAGGATGCTTTTCTATGCATGCCCTCCCAGCTTCCCACTGGGAAGTGATGATGAACACTGTCAGCTGGTGTTTGGTAGCTGGCCAAAGAGACCCTCTTGTGTCCAAAATCCCGAGCATGAGCTGCTCTTTGTGGTGACTCACGTGAACATACAGGGCTGGAAGCTGGGATGTTTCCACACCTGACTGGTATCAGGATTACTTACTCCTGCCCAAAGGAGCAAACTTTCCAGTGGTCAGTGAGACAGATAAGAGGCGTTGCCCATTTCAGCTACATTAATTCCCTGCCATAAACTAAGTGGATCTCGTTTTCTGCTGAGTGTTTCCCCATTATTTCTGCTCTTCGTGATGCCATGGCTGTTCCCACAGGTGATGGCTATCGCTCCAACACATTACATCTGGCAGCGAGAGCGCTCTGTGCAGCACAGCGGAGCTCTGAGGAGTTATAATGATCAAGTGCAGCTGCCCCGAGGACCCAGTGCTACTCCTTCAGAGTGCCTGCTCTGCGGGAAGAAAGGCAGATTTGTACGACTTGGATTATCATCTTCCTCCTCATCTACCGACACTTTGGAGATGATGGACTTACACTCATCCCAGAAATCAAAGGACACCCTTTCAACTGAAAAAATGCTCATTGACTCTCCTTCTTATAAAGCCCAAGGTATGGTTTAATATTGTGAATAATTTTTCTTGGTTTAGGCAACTGGGGCCACATTTGCCCTTCAGAGTGCTGCAGGGACTGCTCTGTCCCTCCCTCTTACACCTCGGCAGAACTGTGCTTTTACCCTTATGGATTCATTTTCACATATCATATCTTGACTTCCTGGAAGTACCAATTGCTTTACATTAGTCTCTTCACGTTACTTTCATCTGCTATGGTAGATTTTTGGTGTATTCCAGTCTACTCAGGCATTTGTTACTATTCTTGCATTATAAATGAAATGGAGAGTCCTGTTTTAAATGCTTATGATTGGCTGGGACAATAAAAATACCGGTGTGTAAAGGGAGTTAAAAGTGCTCTTGCTGAGAGCATGTTTTGAAAAAGGGCAGGACGCTCAGTTGTGGCATGGGTTTGGACATATAGGAAAATGGGAATTGTGATTTAACCTAAGTATCTAATTTGTTGACAATTTATACAGCACTGTTTTAATCCTGGGGTATGAGTAGAAAACAAGAGCTTATTGCAAGAATTGTTTATGTAATTGAATCTCTCCCCATTACTCTACTCACAATAGCACCTTCAGCCTTTGCATTAGGGGCCTCTATTACATAGAGCAGCTGTGGGGCAAACCCATTACATTTTTTATTAGAAGCTAAATGCACTTGAGATATAAACTTCCTCAGGCATCTGGATAAGGCCTCAGCTCTGCAAAGACACTCTCCTGTAGTTAACCAGTGAATGAACCAGTTCCTAGTATACTTATCTAATACAAAGGTAGTTATTTATAGCTCTGTATATTCACTTATATCCAAACTTCCACTGTTACAGTACGATTGTTACTGTTTTTGTCAGCTTTACTACAAGTGTGATTCTCAACTTTGAAAAATTTGGCATTTGAGTATTTCCTGAGATATAAAGCAAGTCATTTACAAAACATACTTAATAAATTAATGTGTTAAACATCACCACTTACTCAGGGGAGACCTAAAATTACTTTAAGTCTGTTTTTATTTGAGAGATCTGGCTTCTTATGCCTGACAAGAGCCAGAAAAAACTGTGTTTCCTCCAACCATTTGAGAATACTTATATGAAGCAACGTTCACAAATAACCAGGCAACTTACAGCGTAAGTGCTGGAAGGGAACCAAAGCTGTGCCTGTCAACAACTATTTTGATGTTGAAACAAGCACAGCTTTATCAAGTGAACACATTCAGTGAATTTCAGTATCTCTTAAAGTTATGCTTTAAGAACTTTGTTTTTAAAGACACCTATAGGCACCAGTTGGAAGCCAGGAAAGTATTAATTTCAAAGGAGAGCCTTTGATCCCTTATTTTCTTATTAAATTTTTTTTCTCCTTATTTCTAGGAAACTGTCAGAGGCTGTCCAGCAAAAGGCAACTATGTAGCACCCTGGATCAAGATAAGTCTATGGACTGGTTTACAAGTAATGGAGAATGAAATGCACCTGACAAGGCAGAAACAGATACTGTGATTTGCAGAACAATCTGGACTGCATCACACCACCAGACATGAGGATTCCCTTCAAATGTTTCTCTTTACATAGTGGGATAACAGTTGGTGTTTCAAACTTGATGTGAGGTAGAAATCAGAGCAGTCACTGGTTAAAAGTTACACAAAATGCAAAATGTAGCATCTAATTTGTTATGTTTTATTTCATTCTGATACAATATTCAAATTAGAAGCTATGGAGGCAGCAGCATCAAGAAAGCAGTGGTCGAAACTTTCTCAGCTTGGTAAGGAATGCTAATTAAAAAACAAAAGTTACCACTTTAGTATTTCAATATGCAATGATTTTATTATTGTCAGTTTTATGGTTTCATCAGATAGGAAAATACCAAATGCTAGTACAAAAAAACCCAAAAAAACCCGTTTATTTTAAATAAAAATACCACTAAACATTTAAGATAATCTTTTTCCAAGAGTCTCACCTGAATGAGCTTCCTGCCAGTGGGATGGTCGGGCAATGTAAGGCACTGAGTGGTTTGTTTCAGCAGCATCGCTGAGTGATTCTGTGAGAAGGACATTTTTTTTTATTTTGTTCCCACATATTTAAGACCTACATGCAGACTAGAGTAGACAATTTACATGTAATGTTTTTCCCTGACATGTTTTGGTTTTATTTGTTGTCACCTATCAGTATATTCAGAACTCTTTGTATTTTGCAGATCTATACTCTATACTCTATATATATTTACATTTCCCATATAATATATATATGGCAGCATTTTTGGATTTGCCAGAACACCATAATTTTAAAGCAGAGCTCACTGGCCACCATTTCTCCTAAGGAATCCTTAAGTCCATCAGGGTCTTCTAAAGCAGCTTTAGGCTGAGTATAAAGAACTGCATTTTCTTAAAATTCAAAAATTTGAAAACAGTAGTAGAAGGGCAGTCATTCTTTATTGCAGACTGAAATTTATTTTTTATTTAGCCCAGGTTTTTAGTAGGATATTTTAACTTAAATAAAATTAATAGTCTTCTTTAAACCTTACAAGGTCCAAGCTGTCCAAAACCTTTCCTATTTTCAGCTGACTCAGGCAAAAATACTGCCTCTTCCTACACTGGATGATCAAAGTGCAGTAATAGGGGATCTCATCAGCAGTAAAGTCCTTACCATTGTATTCGCTCTCCTTAAGAACTGCTTGATGCTGAATATGGATTTCTTCGTATTCATTTGGAGGTAGTTCTTCAATATTTTCTTGAGTTTCCACCATTTGACTTGATTTGTAATGCTTGAGTTTAGCAGGGAGTACTGACCAGCTCCTGTGAGTTACCTCAATTATCCTTTCACACAAAAAAGGAAGCTTGCAGCTCCGTACTCTGTCTAAAAGCTCAATAACCTGTGTGATACTTTTGAAGAAATGCAAAGGATAAAGTAGTATTTTGAAAACCCAAAATTTCAGTTCTACTGACTTTGGCACATTCTTTACCTTTGAGGTTACGCAAGTCCTTCAGTTTTGGGGTAAAGGAGCAACCTGACTATTGCACTGGAGAACAGTGCAGTTACTTTTGAGGATGCCATAAAGGCCAAACTTCACTGACCAGAATGAGAACATTCCCCAGGCAGATGCCAAAGGATTTGGCCAAGGGTAATTTATACTGAGTGCAACTCCCAAAGAAAGTTACATGGGGAAAAAACCCAACTTTGTTAACCATTTCATTAATGCTGGATGTGTATTTCAGAAGGTGCTTGGTTTTGTACTGGGGCCAGGTAATGCCTGAATAAAGGTGCCAAAAAGAAATACTTACTTTGCTAAGTACACAGCGCACACCCCACCTTGTTTCAGGCTTGGGTGTACAACAGGCAGAGCACAGTGAGGGTTCAGCATATCCAGAACTACCTGCAAGAGAAAGACATATTAATATTTACTGGGAGAACATGTGTACATCTACCAATGTAACATACAACAATGCTGGGGAGAAAGAAAGGTTATGGAAAAGAGATGCATACAACAGCAGTATGTAATCATCAACCAGTTTCATTACTGCCTCTCAAAACCTGAGGTGCATGCTTACACAAAACGAAGTCCTCTCTACTTCCAAATGAATTTCTATTAAAACAGCAAGTAGCGTTTGACCAACTAAGTAGGTCTGTAGGAAGTTAAGCCTCCTAGTAATTAAATCCCATAATCCTGACAGTAATAAAAACTTTTAGAAGACTACATTTACTAACACATTTGAATACCTATTTCTCAAATGTGAGAAAAAAAAAAAATTGTTCAAATGCATAAAAAGAACACATGGTCACAATGTCTAACTTGCTGTCAGTTTCAAGATTAAAAATACTTCTTGTCTTTGGCAATTTATCCATCTTCTGCTAGGAAGCTATTCAGATTGTAGAACAATGGAATATGCAATATCTGATCCTTCCTGCAGGACTATTACTTGAAACATTTTTTGACGATGTATTTTTATGCTATGTATTATATGTCTTTGCTTGCACCATTTTAAAAATTGCTATTTGTTTAAAGCATTTAGTATATAAGTAGCTGTAAGTAGTTTCTCAGCTTTACAGGGAAGAGTAGCATCAAGCAGTTTTCCTCAGCATGACTCCTTTTAGGAAATCTGGATACAAAAAGTAGGATAGGAGAGCAAGACATAGCATTCTCTGAATTATGGTTTAGTTACATTGTGCATTCTATATAGCTGATGGCAAAGTGGTCACATAGTTACATATTTAATAAGGTTATGTATTTTTCTGAAATTCAATGCTTGAAATATTTATCTCATAAAAATATCAATTTCTCAAAAATACAATAAAGTGAGTTGGTCTTTGCTTTTAAGATAGCAATAATTAATTGTAATATTTCTAGAGTACAGCTTTATCACTCTTTCATTTGACAACCTGTAACAGAAACCTTGAAAACATTTGTATCTGACAAAAAATTTACAATGTTTCTTTCACTGATTCACCTGGATTGTTATTTTTCATTTTACACTAGGTATGGGAGTCCCATTGTGAGTGTGAGCACTAGAGGTTTTCATTAATGGAGAAAAGACACTTGTCAAATGGGGGAGTTGTTTGGATTCACTCACTGCATCAAGGGTTACAGATTTCATATCTGCAGCAGCTGTTGAAATGTCTTTAAGAATGAACTCCACGTTATCTGGCCACTCATCCACGTGTCCTTTTTCCCATGCAGAACGCCAGTGCCTGTAATTCTTCTTAGCTAAATGATGATGGTCCTCTCTGATTTCGTAACTTAGAACACGTCCTTTGGGCCCAACTGAAAACAAAGAGTAAACACTCCACTCACCACTTTACACTGCTGTTATAAAGACTTGGGGAAAAAAAAAACAAAACAAAAGCAAAAACCACAATTTGTAACATAAGTACACCTTTCCATCTCCACTTTAGGAAATTATTACATACGAAACAATCAATGATAATCTATGTTTTCTTTACATTTAAAACAAAAATGCAGAAAAAGTGCCATGTTAGCTCTCTCACAGACAGAAACCCATCACTGCACAGATGAAACAAAGTGTAGTTATAGTAGTACAGACTGCTCCAGATGTTCTACTGAAGTCACTCCTGCAGCAAAAGACAAATAGAGCATCTGTGGCCCCTGCCAGATCCTTCTACTCACCGGTCTTAGCCCCACAGAAAGGTTTTCCAGTGCACTCTTTGATCTATCCAGGTTTGTGTAATTTTCCTGTTACTGTCTGCAACAGCAATAAATTATTAAGTCTAAATTTAGTATTCTGAAATTTACCATGAGTCCAATGTACACTGTTTCTCATAAAGGAAGCATTTCCAGGCTGTGCAGGCAGACAGCAGGTGTGCACTGCTGTATTATTCTATATTTGTATTACTCCAATTCCTCAGGCCTATCCCACCACTCACTTCTCTCTCCTTGCTACTTTGGAATGGGTGCAGGCTGCTTTCAGGAAGGAGCACCTCCTCAGGTCAGTTCTGTGCCTTCCTAAACCATTTCAGTTTGAAGTCACCAGGCTCCTTCCCTCACCTATGTGATCCCACTGTGAATCCATTCTGGTAACTCAGTAAAAGGGATGGATTTCCTGACAGTTGCTCCTTGATCCAGCTCACCCTGCATCAGACAAAGGCCAGAACCAACTTGTAAGAAAGGGAAGGTTTCAGCACGTTGCCTTTGATCACCTGAAGCAGTTGTAGAGTCACAGTGCCAACTCCTTGTTACTTTAGATTATCCGTTTACAAACATCAGAAAAATAAAATTCTTTGCACTGGGGCGGGGGGGGATCAGTTTTACCTCCACTCATTCAAAGTCATTCCTATTTTTGGAAACTGCTTTTTTTTTAAAAATAAGAACAAGGTGAAATAGCTAGGCAAAACTTCATTACTGTGAAGCTACAGTATGTCAATTTGCATACATCATATTTTCCAGTTCTCAAAGATCTTAAAGTCATAGCCAATACCACTCTCCTAACTTCATCCTGTTTCATGTCAGTAGGTTTGGGAATGATTTAAGAAAGAATGGAAAAGAAAATATAAAGGGAATAGCAATTAAGAGATGAATGAAATCTATTAAATCAACAAGAACTTTGGAAATTAAATAATTCCAAGGACATTGGTAAGGTGGGCACTAGATTTGAATTCCAGCATTTACCCACACAGCAGCTGTTTTCCTTGTTGGCTATCACTGGTGTGTGTTTAATGGTGGCAAAAGCAGCCACCATTAGGAAAGAGCACAGCAAATCAAATCTATTTATTTCTGTGTCAGCACCAAAGTGTCTTCAGCTGTGATTAAAATTGGCTGTATTCAGTGCCAATTTAAATTCAATACATTTGAAAATAGCAATACAATTTCATACCTTTTTCCCACTCCTCAAAATAGAGCTGATCTGGCACACAACAACTGCACTCTTTCCCTGGATAGGGCTAACAGCCTGGTAATGCCAATGATTTTGCCAGCTTGGCCCATTTACAGCTAAATTAAAGTGACTAGAAAAAAACCTGTTGAACAAGATTGAAAAATGAGAAGAATAATTGGCAAGTTCGGGTGTGCTTGTATGAAATGGCCACAGCAGGCTGAATACCCAAGGCAGAAAAATCAGTTGCTGTTTTTAGCAAGAGCTAGCTTCTGCCTTAGCCAGCAGCAGGTATTCCATCTCTTTGGGTTCTGGGTCTGCCATAGGGAAAGGCAGGGAAAGCTAAGGACTTCTACTTTCCCTCTCTGTAAACGGAAAAAGAAGCTCTGATGTTTATCTTCTGTTTCATCAGCTTCTAACTCCTACAGCAGCAGTGTTTGCTTTGAGGATAATCCCATGCTAATTTCAAAATCCCAATGGAACTAAAAAACACCAAACACTAGTTTATTCCAGAAAGATGATCAGAGGAAACCAGGCAATAGCAGTAGGAGGCAGAAGAGAGAGGGAGCAGAGGTGCAACTGCTGACCTTGAAATTTGGGCCCAACGTATCAAGACCAGCTGCAGTTCAGTGATCTTGAGGCATGGCTGAAACTCAGCTTTCTGCAAGGCTTTCTGTAACCAGTTACATCACGGCCCTCTAAGCATACCAGAATGGTTTGCAGTCCCTACGCTGATGTAACTTTCCTTCAAGTTAAACTATATGTGAACTGCAGCAAAGCTTTCATGAGCTGAATAATAAGAACCACAAGAACCATAAATAAAAGTTATGGGCAAAACCATAATCAAAGTAAAAGTCTGGGCAAAAAAACAAACAAACAAACAAAAAAACCCAAACAAAAAAAAAACCAGGTTGTGATAAGGAATTTTCAAAAGGCAAGTTCTCACCTGCTCTTGACAGAAACAAGCTCATAGCACCAGACCCGCTGCCAGTTTCCAACACGGTGTCTCCCGGGTGGATGTCCATCATCATTAAGAGAGCACTTATATCCTGCGAGCAAGAAAACCACGGCACGTTACTATTCGCGGGAAATGAAAGGAGAGATTCGGCCAGCGACCTCCCAGCCACCAGCCGGTACCTTGGGGTAGGCGATGGTGGGTCCCCGCGGCATGAGCAGCACGTACTCGTCCAGCGAGGGCCGCCTCAGCAGCAGCCGCTTCCCTTCCGACGTGCGCAGCACCTGCCCGGGCAGCTGCCCGATGATGTCGCGGTGGGGCAGGACACCTCCGGAGCTGTTCAGCACCGCCTCCGCCGCCAGCCGGCACAGCAGCTTCAGCGTCGTGTTGTGCTTCCTCCGCATCTCCGCCAGCGCCAGCTCCCCGGCGCGGAAAGGCACGGAATGCCGACCCGCCGCCTCAACCATGGGGCCCACCTCCATCTCCTCCTCTTTATCAGGGGAAGCCTGAAGCGGCTGCGGCGCTGCTGCCGCTCCCACCGCCGCTTCCTCGGGAGGCAGCAGCCGCCTCACCCGCTCCAGCGGCGACAGCGAAGCCTCCCATGCCCGCCTGCGAGGCTTCGCGTCGGAAGGAGAGGAGGAAGAGGAGGAAGAAGAAGAAGAGGAGGAGGCGGCCGTCCGCCGCAGCGCCCGCCAAGCCCTCATGGAGCTGCCGGCGGGAAACCGGCGGAGCGGCTCCGCCTCCGCCGCTCTCGCCCCGCGCGCCTGCGCCGCACGCCCCGATGACGCCGTACGGCGTCATCGGGGCGTGCGGCGCAGGCGCGCGGGGCGAGCACGCGGGCGGTGCATGCGCTGCGCGGGGCGGGCCGGGCAGAGCCGAGGGGCGCGCGCGCCATGGCGGCCGCTCCGTGCGCCTTCTCCCCCCGCGGGTGCCGCTTGTTCGCCTCGGCCGGGTCCGACGGGAGGCTGCGAGTGTGGGACACGGCCGGCAGC